TAAAACTCCCTTATACACACAATTAAAATGCTCTCACACACACTACTGAAATGCTATTTCCTCTTATACACACTATTAAAACTCCCTTATATATACTATTGAAACACTCTCACACACCCCACTCAAATATATTATTTGCTCTAACACACACAACTGAAACACCCTCATAAATACTATTGAAACGCTCTCACACACAGTACTGAAATGCTATTTGCTCTCGTGCACACTACTAAAATGTTTTTTTATTATTTCAGGGAAAATGGGAGTTTCAATGGAGATGGAAATTGGAAATTCACTGATAGGCCGCAGTGCACTGATACGCTGTTCACTTTAGCCAGCATCCAGGAGGATGTCTCAACCAGGAAGTGGCTTTAGTGGACATTGCGTTAAATGAAGCTCAGATAAAAAATAGTTTGACGTCTTCCCTATTGGACATTATGTAAGAAACATTATGTCTGAAAACTATGAGAAACATACGAAAGTCCATTTTGGTCCATGCACCCAGTCTTTTTTAACTGCAGGTTGTACAGGTAGGCTATGCTGGACACTCCCGATGTCCAGCAATTGCCCAGTGTGTTCATATTCTGAGCTGCGTTATTCTGTGTCCTTATTCAAACTGCCTCCTGGATTCTGAGCGGTCATCAATGTGCTGCAAACCACACACTTGTTTTTTCTTTAGTGTGCGACAGCGTTTCAGTAGTTTTTAACAAACAGTCTCTCATATTGGAGCATGAAAAATCAGGCAATTACTTCTTACTGATGATCCATTTATATTATCACCATTTCTAAATAATTAATCATTGTTAATTTGATATTTAAGATTTGTGTTCTTTCTAATGGGGTACTGATTCAATGCATTTTGATTGCAGCTTTTATTCTGAAAGGGGAACTTGCAGAGCAATGAGGAGTCTATAATAAAAATTGTTTTGCAATTGTATTAACATAAAAGTTATGACTAATGATTCAGTCTGCATCCATATATTCATACTATGACAACAGTAGACACAGACAATGTTGAATATTTAATTTAATCACACGTGCAAGACTCCATTTAGTGTTATCAAATAATAATAATACAGGTGTAATACATGATTTATAGGGAATGTAATAACTTTTGGTAGGCTGTAGATATGAACTGCATTTTTCAGAAATATTTTAAATACTTTAATAATCCCAGAGGGAAATTATTATTATTTTCATGGAAAGGATACTACACAAACGTAGTGTCTCTTGTCATGAGTACATTTTGACCTGTTTGTGTGAATGAACAAAATAGCCATGTAAACATTTGGACAGACTGGTAGTTCAGTCATTTAAAAGATGATTTTACAGCTCTTTTTCTGATTAAGTTCAGCATCCTGGCTGAACATGCTGAACAGAATGTACGTTTCACACGTTTTTAAAAACAGACCTAATCCACTTTTTTATTCTTTTTTTTAACTGATGGTGGTGCTGGATAAAAAGCTCATTAGACATGAAAAAAACTATCATTATTTATACAAAAGGAGGAAATATGTATTGAAAAAATGCTATCAAACCTAACTGCTCCCTGCTCAGAGTAATCAAGAAACATTTCAGTCAAAGCCATAAATGTAAGTGTAAAGAATTAATGTCAGTTGTGACTAAAGTCATTAGTTTTCAATTTCTGAGTCTTTTCTTTTCTTGTTTCCTTTTTGGGTGACCATTTAGTTTTTGTTGCTTTTTAACTTGTCATTTCAATCAAACCCGCCACTCTCCATGTAGGGCTTTCTAATTTCTTACCGTATAGTTTGGCTTGGGGCTTTGCCTAACTTCTTGATGGCTCCACATTCTTTCTTGTGCTCATCCCAGCAGGCAGTCTGACAGGTTCGGTCGCAGTAGTGAGCGAACCTGCACTGAGCGCAGCGGTGCAGGTTGGCCTGATGTCGAAAACAGCTGTGGCACACCTGGGCTGCAAAACTGATAGAGAAAGATAATTATACAGTCGCTCTAAAATGGTAAACTCTTGAGAGCTCTTTTTTTTTACTATAAAAATCTATATAAAACTGAAACTATAAAATGAAAATTGAAAAAAATGCAACAAATATTGGCTTCAATCACAAGTGGAAAAAAATTGTACATCTAATATTGATGGCAGGTCAATTCTATTCAGGTTTTCTGAAAGAAAGAAACAGTAAATCTTATTTTACCAGACTAAGAATAAACCTAACCACTTTGTGTGTTTGCTTCAGTTATCTCACAATCCAATCCTGGGACTAGATTTTCATAAAATATTGAGGGAACTTTGTTAAAGCTCATCCCTTTGTGTGTTCATCCATTAAGACGGAAAAAATCCCACCTCTGTTCTTTTTAGACAGCAGCATGCCCTTTTATAGACACTTTATTAAGTCATTTAGCCTGTCCGCACAACTGTAAACAAAAAAAAAAACCTTGTTGATGCCTTTAACTGTTTAAAATATGGAGCTGTCCATCATTCTGGAAAAGTTTCTGTAATACGTTTGGCCTCATGGCTTTTACATGGCCTTAAAACTGAGTTACCAAAACAAAAACTAATACTTAATTTAAATATCCACACAACTGATCATCACATGCTTCAACAGCAAGCTGCAGAATATAAATACTACTACAGCATGCTGTTTTTTAAAGATTTAGTTTAGTAGAGAAACACATTTAGCCTACATTCATACCAAACATTCAAACATCTCATATTAGCAACAACTAATGGTTGAATTACACATTGTTTGCAATAACATGATAATAAACATATTAGACACACAAAAGCTACTGAAGTACCACAAAAGAAGCATCTTTATTGGAAATCTGAATTTCATAGTGAAAAAAACTACATTCAGCTTCGACTGATGTGGAACAATAGTTTGTCATTTTCATACTTTGTTAAGTACCTTTCACCTTAGGAGCAAAGGCTACCAGGTCCGCCATTAACCTTTGTAGTTAAACTGTGTATGGCCTGTTGACATAGTTATTTCTAACAACAGAGTAAACTGTACATACACATGACTTCAAATTGTCATGTCAAATTGTCAAAAAAGCATTCAAATTGTCATTCAGATACGAAATTACTATTTTGTTTTTAAAAAACAATATTCCTTTCAGGAGTATTGCACATTTTACCATCGATTTTGGACCTTTACCTTTAAATATTTAACTTAAGAACATTGCTATTCTAGTTACTGTGACTTATTCTGCATTGTAAAGCATCAAGTTTGCTTTCTGTTTTCAGAGTTGAACTAAATGACAAAAGAAACACTACTCACAAAAAATTAATTAGCAATATCAATAATATACCAACTTAAATGCTTGAGAAGCAGTGCAGTGGTAACATCCCCTTGGTCTAGAGAACTAAATCCAAAAGTGTCATGGTCAAGTTCACAGTATGCTTTGAACTTGCTGATGTCATAAGAATTGTGTAATCTGGATACACACTCACAGCTCAATAGAATTAGACTTAGACTGTCACGTCTGGTGTCTCGTCATGTCCTGATTACCAATTGTGTGCA